ATAATAAAAAAACAATTATAACAAAAAAATAACAATAATTATTATAAACAATATAAAATTAAAATTAAAATAAACTCGGAAGTTACTTAATAACTAAAAGTAAAGAAAAAAATCATTGCCAGTCTCTCAAAAACAAAAAGAAAAAACAAGAAAGAATTCTTTAAGAAATGAAAAAAAAATTGAACAGAAATAAATTCTTTTGCATTTATTTTTAACATCAGTTATTCAAGTTAATTATTCAAGAGCAAGTTCTTAATTTGATTTTTGACTAACTATACAGGGTGTTTCCCAAAAACATTGCATTTTGTCAAATTCCAGGTACAGATAAAGTTTATAAAACGAGCCCGAGTTTTTTGGTATTGAAATATTTTTTTTTCATTTTTTTTTTATTTATAAGTTAATTTTGATGAAAAATATGTATCTTATGGTTACTACTTGTATATTTTTCGAAGAGCCCTTGTATAAAATATTTTCTCTAATTTGAAATTATTTCTATAAAATTTTCAAAAGAAAATTATCCCTGTTAATTCCAAAAAGAATTGCCTAAAAATAATCATTAATTTGATTGATTGAATTCCTAAAAATTGTTCAACTAATTCTAGAGTCAAAAACAAGCAAAGGAATAAAAGAGTATTTCTGTGTAGAGAAGTTGCTCTAAAAAAATAGTTCGGTCCTGTATATAAAATAAGTTGGCAACATTGAAGAATTTAAATAGTTGTCAATTTATATACCGCGTGACAATTGACTATAAAGTTGTGTCATTTATTTGACAGCCAGTGTTGCCAAATTAAATTATATCATGGCCTACTTGCTACAAAAATTATATTATTCGAAGATTTGCTGCAATCCTATAATAAAGTTGACTCACCTTGTATAAAAAATAAAATAATAATAAAAAAAATTAAAAAGTAAATTTTTTTTGTAGGTATATCCACAGTAAGGAGAAGCCGTTCAAATGCACGGAATGCGGCAAAGGCTTTTGCCAGAGCCGGACTCTGGCCGTGCACAAGATCCTCCACATGGAGGAGTCCCCCCACAAGTGCCCCGTGTGCTCCCGCTCCTTCAACCAGCGCTCCAACCTCAAAACCCATCTCTTGACCCACACCGACATCAAACCTTACAACTGCTCGGCCTGTGGGAAGGTGTTTCGAAGAAATTGTGATTTGAGGAGGCACAGCTTGACCCACAATCTCGGCACGAGCACTTCGACGACGGCCACCGGCGCCCAGAACTTCACCATAGACTCGATCATGAGCAAGGACAAAAAGTGACTGTTGTTAATTCTTATTATTGTAAATAAATGTTGTAAATTAATTTTAATAAAGTTTCTGTGGACGAAGATGAGAGTTGTAGTGGTGGGAGTGGTGTTGCGAGATGCTTAATTTCCATAATATATCGCAAAGGCATTATATAAATCTCCCACAATGTGAAACGCACGTCACTGGAAAATATATATACGACTTTGAGAGCGGATGATATTTCCTACGCCAAACAAACCGCATAAACTCCACTCGAGACGGGATTTATTGACGATGTCTGTACTTTGCACAAGGATTATTTATTGGAACAAGGGGGCATTAGAAGTACTTAGGTCGTGATGTACAACCACGCGGTTTGACTTTGCACACGAGAAAACAGAGCATTTCCCGTTTCAATTCTTTTATTTTTATACAGGGCGTTAAAAAAAGATTGTAAAATATTTTCATAGCAACGGTTACATTTCTTTAAAATCTGTTCAAACAAAAAAGAAAAGCTTTTAATCTGAGAGATGGAACAATTTTTAATAATCGATTTTTTGCAAAAAAAATAATGAGTAGGTACCTACACAATTTTTAAATTAATAATAAGACTTAGAACTTTTTTTTGTTCTTTAGTTGGAAAATCTTCAAAATTTAGTTAATTATCTTTTGTCTAAATAAAAATTTAATATTTATTTATTTGTTTGTCTAAAAACTTAAATTTAAAAAAATTAGACGAAAAAGCCAGAATTTTTAACGATTTTTGTATAGGGGAAAGCGGGACTAAAAGTTACAGCGGTAAAAAAATATAGAAATTGTAGGGTAAATTCGGGATAAATAGCAATTTTTTATTTATAGTTGCCAACATAAAAAACAATCAAAATTGTATT